GAAAGTTTTCCCCTAGCAGCACCCATCGGGTCAGCTGTGGAGCCTCCTGGAGTGGTGCCTTTGGGGCGCTCAATATATGACCCTGCCAACCCGGTGCCTCCTCAGTTCCTTCTCGCCGGCTAAGTCGACAGAGGGGAAGGCAGGTGGATCTGGAATGGATATGAGCAACACATCCCGAAGAACAACAATTACAAGAAGGTGAGTAACCAGTTTTTCTTCTTGACTGCTTTCTCACATCAATTCCAGATAGGTGACTCCCAAGCCCCACCTCGGAGGTGGGGTCAGAGTTAAGGAACAATAGACTGGAGCACTGCTCTGTTGAAGGCTGAATCGTCTCTAGCATGCTGGGTATAGTGTACTGAGCGGCAAATGTGTCCACCGAGGACCATGTCGCTGCCCTGCAGATTTCTTGAATTGGCACCTTGGCCAGGAACGCTACCAATGAGGCCTTCACCTTTGTGGAATGGGCTGTGAGAGCTGGGGCTGGAACGTTAGCTCATTTGGAGCTGGTGCGGATGCAGGAGGTAATGCATGATGAGATCCTCCGTGACAAGACCAGTGGCATTCATTCTTTGTGAAGTTTTATTTTTGATTACATAATGTTTTCTAATTTTTTGACGTTCTAAATGTCTGACCTATATCTATTTCTTGTTCTCTGTACTTACCATACTTCCAGAAAATAAGAGAATATATTAGAAGATAGACATGCTATGAATTTTCTAATTAAAATGAACTAATAAGGGATTAGTTTAACACAATCATTGTGACAGAGAGATATTTTGACCTTGAAGATTAATGTATTTTCAGTTCCCCTACAAATAACTTTCAGCCTAAATTTTTCACTAGGATCATTCTTTCTTCTGTGTGGATTATTTTATCTGCGTGGCTGTTTGCTTGTTTTTGTTAGTAATATGTTTAACAACTTGTGAATCTCAGGCATTTATGGCTCTGTTCCTTGAAATGAACTCTAATATAAATGTCCCCACTGTACTAGGCTGCACTTCCTTTCCAATATGACTTTTATGTTTCATTCTATTACCCACACATCTATGCTTCTTCCAAGAAAATTGCCAGAATTCTCAGATGAAATGACCCAAATCTGTAGTACAAATACACTGTGGGGAAAAACCTTGAACTAAAAGTGCTGCAGTAGGTATTCTGAAGACAAGATTTCCCAGAGTCAAGTGTTTTGTGAATGCAGTATTCCCTTTTTATGCAGCTTCAATTCTTAAAGAGGAATTAGAAAGAACATTGCTAAACTGCAGCCATCTCAACCCCTCTCCCATAGCTTTCCAATATCTGTAGGTATAATCATGATTGTTATTGTCATTACTTGTTGCACTATACTTGCTTGTTTGTGAACATACAGTATGGACTCTTCAAATTATTACAGAGCTTTGTTTAATCTGAAGTCATTTACTTTCTCACTCTCTCGCCCCATTTTCTTTTCTATTTTGGTTTCAAAAGCACTTTAGAAGTCAGGCTTTCTAAAGTCTTCTAAATTCCAGCTAAGATTCCAGTAGACAGGCCTAAGTTTTTTCCATGCCCTTAGAGACTTTGCTGCCTCCTGCAATTTTCTCTTGCTTGATGAACTTTAGCTAGACCAGCTGCACTGGACTAAATGCTGTCCTGATTTCCACTCTGCAGAACCAATTTATAGTCACTAAGGCTTCAAGGGCTGTAAGTCATGGAAGAATTTGGCCCGTAGAAAACTGAGTTTAGTCAGCCGCATTGCCCCCTCTCCTTACCCCTGCAGCACAGATTTCACCTCTTTCCCGATGGTTCTTCCCAGTCAGTGATGCCATCTCTCACCAATGTTATCATGAGTCTCATGATATTTTTTTTTTTGCTCAAAGCCTCTGTTCTTAGATGTACATGATCACAACTTTCATTTTAAAAAAATTTCTAGCCCCCAGGGTTGCAGAGCTGGAAACATGACCTGAGTGCCTGGTGGAGGCTCAGAAACCAAAAGCCAAATCAGAAGAATCCAAAAAATATTTACTTTTCAAATCTCATGATTTTTGAGACTGGACCCCTGAATTTTGAGTACTTGGGGATGGAAATACTGCTCCTTCTGCTACAGAAAAAAAGCTAAAAATCCCATATTAGCTCCCTATTCCTTCGCTTCCATAGCGCCTCTGAAAATGATATAATAATGACATCCCTCAGTGAACAGAGATTCTCACAATCTCTGCCCATGTTACAGAGCTGCATGCTCATTCTCCCTATGTGGAGTTGCTCTGGGATACCAATTGGTCCTTCCCCATCCCTAGCCTGGCTTCCCCATGTAAATTTCTGACCTAGAAGAGTTGTCAGAAACAGGAAGTGGTGAGAAGTGGGCAGGGTTCCTAAAGAAGGAAGGGGTGGTCTCAAGCGTACTCCAGACTTATAATTTATACTTCCTAATACTATGAGGGTAGATGACAATTTACACAAATGACATAAAAAGACAAGGTCCTTGCCCTGGAGATATTACAGACTTCCTTAAACTTAACAAAATGCAAATATTCATGATTAGAAACAGATTTAATCGAAGATGATCACACAATAAAGGATGAAAAGGAAGGGGCTTGAAGGAGGAATTCAAAGGAGTCTTGGCCGGTGACTTGGCACACAAAGACCAAAATGCTATTTCACAGTGCAATGAGCAGGGTGAAAAGGGCACCTAGATTAGCATACAAGGAGAGGAAAGGACTGGTCCTGTGGTTATCCACACACGGAGCTCCTCTGATAGCAGCGGCAGTTCCACATGTTGAGGGTTGTACAATAAGGCCCCAAAGAAGCCCTAAGGCTCCAATTCTGCAAGCCGGTTTATGTGAGTGGATTTCTGCAATCATAAGCAGCCCCACTGACTGGGCTGCAACTTCACAACGAGCTTGCAGGATCAGGACCCAATGAGGGCTGGGTAGTATGTGCAGAGGAGGAGTAGGGGTGTAAAAGCAAATGAGTGCTGAAATGTAAACTTAGGGTGGGACAACATTAGAGCAATGCAGAGAGCTTTTGAAAAATCCCTCTAAGGCCTGGTCTACATTGAAAAGTTATATCAGCATAATTACATGTAAAAAACCACACTCCTGACCGACAGAGCTATGCCAACATAATCCCCAAATAACTGATGCCATTATGTCAATAGAAGAGTGCTTCTGTTGACATAGCTAACTTTATTCCTACACTGACAGAAAAAAAACCACCTTTTTGTTGGTGTAGGCTAAGCCTGTACTATGGGGCTATAGCTACATACCTACACCAGTTTAGTCCTCACAGTGTGGACATATCCTAAGTATTCATGGTAATTCTTATTTGTTTACATGCAGCTAACCATTTAAAGAACAACTAATTTAGTGCTGACAATGTGCCTATACAAAAACACACAGTAAAGACAACTGCCGTACCAAAAGGCTTACAGTCTAAAAATAGTTAAAATTATTAAAGGAATGTAACAGATTTGTTAAGTAACCGCTATATGAGGGTGTGTCTTGTTATTGTTTAATTTTGGTAGTTGTTACTCTGTTCCAGCCAATAAATATTAAGATGATACAGAAATCTTTTAAGAAAAGGTGTCTAGAGATTAATGTTGTTTGCACACAATTTAAACAATGAGCAACTTGGTATGTCTTCAAAACAATTAAGTGAAATTGTTGAGATATCTTGTTCTAATCTGACAGTCACTTAGTTGGGGGCATGGATCAGCATTCATGTCACACTCCCCGTCAGTACCCGGCCCAAGCCAGGGAAGCTAATGATCCAACCAGCAGACGAAATCCAACCAGCAGATGAATCCTGGTCATGTGCCAACTGAGGCAGGGTTGCGCATAGACTAATAATAAGAAGAATCACTTAGTATATGTCACTTGGCTCCTTCCCATGTTTGTCTTTCTCTTTCTCTCTCAAGGTTTTTATAAGGTCACCCATACACCTGGTTGGGAATTTTTCAATGATATTTGTTGTTGGAAAATGCCAATTAATGAAAACTCTCCAGTAGCCATTACCCAATTATATTTAAAGAACAAAGTGTTCTGGCCATTATTTTTATCTTAACAAAAGAATATCTGTCTATTTATCTAAGCTGGCAGAATTTGATTTTTAAAACATGATTTTGACAGATAATAGCAATGTTCATTTTTAAAGATTTTTCAATGTTTAAACTTTTACAGTTGTGGGAAATTATGGGACGGTCAAACAATAATTATTTAGTGAAAGTGGATGGTCAGATTCAAAAAGTTAAAGCTTTAGAATTATTAAAACACAAATTGTTAACATCAGATGTCAAATATATAGCTGAATACTGAGTTATTGTAACTTAATACATTTAAATGTGGTACTTGGTGCTGGACTGCTAATTGTTGCACTATGTATATTGGTATATATATATATATATATATATATAAGTAAGTATTTAAAATATTATTTTCAGTCTCAAAACTAAGCATGTGCTAAACAGAAATACAGTCAACCATTCCTGTTACATTAGTTTGCTAAGTTGGATCAAGATGGACCAGCTACAGATCTGATATAATCTTATATTCACCTGTTCTCTGTGACTGTTGCCATATGTTAAAACCACTCAGCATCGTGGCCTCTATTTACCTAACTCAAATGAGGTCCACAATACCTACACTGACTATTAAAGAATAAAAGTCGTGCAAGATAAAATAAAATAAACTTACCTGGTAAAAAAATGGAGTTTATCTACTTAAATTGTTCACTAAACCAAAACATGTTTCATTGATAAATTGAGCCCTTTGAAACAAATACATGATACAAGATAAACTTGTTAAAATAATGCACAGTTACTTTTGCTCCAATCAGTTAAAATATAGATAGGCAACACCATATGCATGATTTCTTTTAAAAAAAAAGGATAGGTGATGTCCTGTAACACATGCATATTACAGTATTATCTCTGTCCATGAAATAGAACCGCATTCTCTGTCAGACACAGAACAATGTTTGCTCATTGTTTTTACAAAAACCTGAATACATATTCAATTTGAAAAAAAAATACATTATTTGAGGAACAATGTTTAGCATTTAATCAGTTTTTTACTTTTATTTTCAGTTGTCAGAAAAGAATGTATAAACCAAACACCCAAATGCAATAATTTTCGGTGCCTCTACTATGAATCATTCTCAGTTGCTGATGCTGTGGTATACTCAAAGCCGCCTTCCTCTGCCCCATTGTCTTTGTTCATGAGCCACTTCACTCTAAATTAAATATAGATCAAAATATGATGTTTAACTGTAACACATTAATAATGAATCACATGTCTATTTCCTGGGATCAACAGTGCTTTCTATCAGACAGAAGTTCAAGTTTTCTTACAATTTTCTTTCCTTCTATGTCACTTTTCACCAAAAATATTTCAAACAGTCCACAAAGTTCAAACATGGACACAAGATGGTAGACCTGAGATAGCTCATCTTCTTTAGAAAGAAAGATAGTATTTCCTATAAATTTGGCAGTAGTGTCCCCAAAATTGTATCCAGGGATATTATAATGCCCACAGATACTATGGTTTATTAGCTTATAGTTTCTCCTTGCTTTCTAGCTTTAGCCCAGCAATGTATTATTAACTCTTGAAACCTAAATAATAAGAAAACAAGATGTTTTATAGAGATATGCTTTCTATGCTTATCAATCTGCGACAGTAGCCTAAAAAGATATGAGAAACTCATAACCAGTCTAGAGCGTCTAAGACATTCTGGATTCATTTTCCAATTTCTTCTTTTTCTTCCATTTTTCCAGGCTTTCCTCCATGTTCAGCAGTGTCTATTTTGCTATGCTTAAGCAGTTATTTATTTAATCAGGTTATTTATTTATTCCTGATCAACAGTTTTCCCAGATCTATTGTAGAGGTCTTTCATATAAATGTTATCATTCTATTTAATTGTTCTACAAATTTCCTTTCAAGAAAAGGAATCCGAGGAAATTCTGAGGCAAACACATATCTTAAAATGACCTCAGAACCCAGAACAATGATATATTGGAGAAGTATATATGGCTCCCCCTCTTAAGCTGGGGGGGGGGGGATCCACAGGACCTTTAGCAGTGGTCAGGCTTAGTCCACCCACTTCCCGGATCCCAGTAGGATCACTCTCCTGTAGCCATCTGGCCTGACCCTGTCACAGGACAAATGTTGGAATGATAACTAAAATGTGTTCAAACTTGGTATGTCAGGGGGAGTTGTTAAACAGGACTATCCTAAACAAAGGAATGTATGTTTACCTCAGTTTACATATAAGCAATAAACAGACCCATCACGCTACCAAAGGGCAGAGGCAAGGACTACTGAATTCAAACAGGCCATTGTGGAACAAAGACTTTGTTGACTGCTTCCACCACAGCCCCGAAGAGGGCACGTCCCAAACCCTCATCCCATCATACCCTGAATGCTGGGGGAAGACAATAAAAATGCCTGTTAAGGAGAACGTATTATTCCTTTGTTGCTTGAACTCTGAGAGACAAGGATTTGTAAACATAAGCAAGGAGTTTCCAGCTGTTTAGCTTGGGTTAGGCCTAAAGGATATAGAGTCTGCTTACTATAGAAGTTGCTGTTACCTTTTGAAACCTGACTGTAACTCATTTGTGTGTGTATGCTTACCTACTTTAACCTTGTTAACTCTCTTATTTCTTTTTCCTAGTTAATAAATCTTTAGTTAATTTACTATAGGATTGACTACAAGCATTGTCTTCAGCGTGAGATCGAAGGTTCAAATAGACATGGGGTTAGTAACCGGTCCTTTGGGATGGCAGTGACCTGAATATTTTGTGCTCTTTTGTGTAAAGTGACCATCAATCATAGAGTCAAGCTTGCCTGGGGGGGCAAGATAGATCAGAATGCCCAAGGAGATGTCTGTGTTACCATGTTAAAACTGTGTAGCGTCCGAGGAGTTTAACTTGTTAGTTAGATAATGAAATTGAAGTATAGAACTCACAGCTGGTCTGGAATTTGTGCCCTGCTTCTTAACAGTCTGCTATAAAGTTGGTATTGTCACTCATGAGCCACTCCAGACAGCCTGACAAGTGTATTTACCCTTATTAAGTTAATAAGTTGTAATGTAGTTGTGTATCTTTACAGGAACAAACAAACCATATTATTTCTCTGAACTGTCCAAGAGGGGGCTGGATGTTGCAGAATACATAGTTTTGGGGAAAAGTGGAACTGGGGAGCGTGTCAGGGTTACTCTGCTGGTTGTAACCAAGGCTGGTGGATGCCAGAGTGGGGTTCTGGAATCAGAGCTGTTGGAATCCAGGTTTCTGGAATCAGAGCTGCTGAACCAGGGCTGTCTAGAACACAGAACTCAGGGTGTGACCTGCATGCTGGTACACTGGTTGGGAGCTACTGCAGCAAAGCATTGTGAGGCACCCAGGGTTACCTGGCAGGCAGAGAAATAACCTCTCACTGGTCTGGATTTGCGCCCTGAATCGACTGGAACGTGACAGTCTGAATCTAAAATAATGGGAAATGCAAATTTCTGGGAGTGAACAGTTTTTTCTCAGTGATAATGACTGAACAAAATATGACTGTTCTACTTTATTTAAATATTATATTATGACTAGAGATGAGACTGAACTAAAAATCAACAGATTGAAATGCCCTAGAAATTTGGACAGTTTACAAATCCCATCTTGAGCTATGACTGAAACAGGAAAATAAATATTTTCACTGCAACCTTTGGCATCAATTAAGAAAATATTGTCCCTTACTATAAAAACCTGAATGTTCTTACATTTTATAAAATTTGCAATGGACATCTGTTGTGATAATTTATTAACATGCAAAACTTTAGATACTTACCCAATGCTATCACAAATATCTACATTGTTTCTTGCTCCCTTACTGTGTGACAAACAATCATTAGTAGATAATGCCTTGCTGTCAATCTCTTAAACTCAGTTCTCTCCTGTGGTCATTTTGGGTTTCACATCCTTAGCTCAGACTGCAGTCTGACTGAGTGCACCAATGAGATGGATCTTTTATGCCGTTACCTTCTGACAGAGATTCACAATGGGGCTGGCTCCAGATTGCCTCCTTCATTACCTCTTGTAGGGCAAAGGTTCATTTTCTTTTTGTGCCATGATGGACTGCTTAAAATGTCCAATCGTAGTCCAATAATCATATTCAAACAACTTTAGGAAAAGAAGGAAAACTAATATTAAACAAACAAACAAGCACGCACTTGCTGGAGGATTCTCTGCTCCTTCAAGTCTTTAAACCATGATTTGAGGACTTCAGTAGCACAGACATAGGGGTGAGGTTTTTCGCAAGAGTGGGTGGGTGAGATTCTGTGGTCTGCGTTGTGCAGGAGGTCGGACTAGATGATCATAATGGTCCCTTCTGACCTTAGTATCTATGAATCTATGAATCTATAAGCAAACAAAAGTATACAAAAACATACCCAAGTCTAAATCTCTCTAGACTGGTCTAGGCAGCGCCCCCCCCCCAAAACAAACAAACAAACAAACAAACCACTGAAGTTACCCCCATAGAAGGATAGCATGTCAGAGTTGCCGCATAGTGTGTCAACCATCATTCCATCCTACTGGGATCCACCCATCTCTTTCTTCAAGTCTGTATGCTTATAGTCTTTGATCCCTTGTAAGTTAAGCTTGGTCTTTGTTCATTAGCATCCAACATTGTTTTATACAGTTGCCCCTCTCTGAGAGATCAGGAGTCTGACTGTCCCTGATATGATGTCCTTTGAGTGTGTTCCTATCCTCCAATATTATATTTACTGCCTTGGACAAAAAGTGTTGGGTGGCTGTGTAACCCCAGAATTTGACCAAACTAAACTGCAGCCATTTGGGGTGCATTTAGCCACTTTTGATTAAAAGCAGAACACCATATAGATAGGAATAATTGTCAGGGCTCTCATAGGCAAGGCCAAATTGCTGCAGTTGCAGCTTTGCTAATCAGAATGGGAAGAGGAGAAAAGAGTTAACAGACCATGAGAATGGAAGAGAGTAAGTCAATAGCAACCTTGGATTTGGGTGTCCCTGACATATACGTTTATTATGTCTAGAAATACTAGGAATGTTTTGTTGATAAGAGATAATGAGTAATTTGTTAAAGCTAGGAGAATTGGTGACCCATTGGGGTTACTATGAGTTATGTGTTTTGTGAGAGTTAGTTATAAAAAGATTAAGTAAAAGTAAACACCTTGGAGCAGTCTGATGGAGCTTTTGTTCAAGCAAGGGGCTGACACCTAAACTCCCTATCAACTGGATGAAGGAGGGTCTCTGGAAGCCCAGCTGGTGATCACTCAAAACCATCTCAGACTTTGGGTTTCTATATTTGGAGTGCTCCAAACCCATTGCTATAGCATATATGTTTGTGTGCTTGATAAAAAAAGGAAGTTTTAAGTAAAAGCACTCTGGTTTGTATCAATCATTTATCAGATAGAGGAGCCATGTCCCATTGATTTATTCCTGACACTGCCTGGAGGAAAACAGTTAAGTTACCACTGCTTTGGGTTCTGAAACTCCTGGGTAACAGCTGTTTTTATTTTCTGTAAGCCAAGATGCATGTATAATCACAAACTTAAGTGGCAATAATTTGTGAACACCCACCATACGATTTATCGTCTCACACAAATAGGTTTTGTGTCTTATTCCAAATTAGCATCCTCCCTCCACATTTTCAAGGAATATTATAGCAAGTCCACTATATTGACGAAGATCAAAAGTGAAAATAAGAATAGGTGACTTCAGCTAACCACATATAAACTATAATTAAGTTCAACACCTTCCTAAACTTCAGGAAGAAGTGGGGTTTTTTTGTTTGTTTGTTTTGTTTTTTTCAGGAGGAAGTTAGTAAAAATATTTCTGAAATTTAAAAGAACAGATGAGAGAAAATTAAAATCCTTGCACATCATATGGATGCTTCATAACAGAGTCACAGAAAGTAATGCAAGCTCCTGAACAAAAATCAAAAACACAAGAATTGGAAAGGCAACAAATACTCAATCAAACCAAAAACTGATCAATGAGAAGGTACAAGAAGTTAGTCAACTCAAACCATTATCTTTCAAAAATGGATTCAGCCCAATTGAAGCCAAATGAATCGAACTCATCTGAATACAAAAGAACATTATGTTACCTGCAGGTAACATAGATATCAAGTTATGTGGGGATTTGAAGGACAAATAATCAAAGACATAAAAATGAATAATGAAACATAGATTCATTGGTTTGAAGACTGGAAGCTATCATTATGACCATCTAGTCTGCCCTCCTGCATAAAGCAGACTATGGAACGTCACTTAATAATTTCTGCATCGAGACCATAACTTCAGTTTGAGCTGTAGCAACTATTTTAGAAAGACACCCAACCTTGATTTAAGTATCTGAGAAGCAGGAAGCCTGAGAGAGATTTGATGAGTATGATGGATGGGCAGGGGGTAAATGGAGTAACTAGGGAGGATAAAAAATATTGCAAAGAAGTTAAATTATTTCTTCACAATATCAGTCTTCACCACAGAGGATGCTGGGGGAAAAGGCTGTGAAACATGAAGTTAAAAAATGGACAAGTAATGTACAATGGAAAGAATCATTTGAACTCATATACATTGTTGGGTTCTACATTAACTATAACCACTCCAGAAAAATTGCCCTGGTGAGCCTTCTGGACAATTCAAAAAACCTGTGCACAAAACACAGTGGGGGTCAAAAAATCAAACAAAATATTAATATGTATAAAGAATGAGATGGGAAATAATACCAAAATTATAATAATGACAGTCAATAGTACCATTTCACTTGTAATAGAGTATATCCTGAGGTGGGTGAACAAAAATTGGACATTAGAGGCAAGTTTCATAAAAGAACGTAGGTGCTTAACTGCCACTTTAGCCATCAAATTTTAGAATCACGCCCCATGGGGTTCACAAGCCCCCCTCTGCTGCCTCCGACCCCTGTAGACACGTACATTTTTGCAGAAAAAAGTACCCCAGGTGACTAGGTTTCTCCCTAGGTGTATAATGCCACTCCACTCTAGGCTAGTGTAATGCACAAATCGGGGGAAATAGGTGTTGCTCCGCCTAACTTACCTGCAGGTCCCAATCCTGTAAGTGTAGTCAGAGCTCACCTACCGGATCAGGCTTCCACAGGCAAACACGCAAAACAGTGAGGAGGGGGAAGAGTTCCCTCATAACTTTAAGCCCAGTGGTTAGGGAACTCACCTAGATGTTGGAGACCCCCAGTTCAAGTTCCTCCTTCCTTCACCTGAAGAGAAAAAGAGATTTGAATAGGGATCTTCCATCTCTCAAGTGAGTGCACTAACTCCTAAGCTAGACAATATTCTGGTGCAGGGGTCCCTCAGTCTCTCCTGTTGACCCCGAACCTTGTTTATCATTTTTCTGTTGAACAGTTACTGCATTATATTAACACCTTTAGTCTGTATATTAAACCTAAATGAATAAAATAGAAACTTAACCCCAAGCTGAGAGTGAGAAGGTGTACTGCTGAAGAACTGAGGAGTACAAGTATTATCAGACACCAGGAGGAAGGTCCTATGGTGAGGATAAAGAAGGTGTTCGGAGGAGGCCATGGGGAAGTAGCCCAGGGAATTGTAGTTGTCGCACAGCTGTTCTAGGAGGCACTCTAGACAGCTGCATTCCACAGGGCCGTGGGCTGGAACCCTGGACTAGAGGGTGGACCCTCGTTCCTCCAAACCTCCGAACTCCTGATCAGACACAGGAGGAGTTGACCTGGACTGTGGGTTCACGAAAATGGCCAAACTGAGCGTTGCCGTGAATCTCCGAGGTGAGAAAATCCGCCAATAAGACCCACCAAGGTAGAGGAGGAACTTTGTCAAACTTTGCCATTATCCAAATACTTGTGAAGAACAAGCAACCTATGTACCTATGAATTACAGTACACCAAGCTTGTGTTTATCCCCAAAAATATTATTTTTATCAGTCCTAGTCATCATAGTGTTAACTCTCAGCTGATGATTTATTTATTTATTTGTTTATTTTTAAAGAAGATAATGGAAGTGATTTTCAGAAAAAATAGCATCTTTCTCTTTCTGTTTGTTGAATAAAGCTGGGTCAGTTCATAAAGCCAAGCTACATTCTTGTCTTGGACAGGTAGCTGGCAAGGAGTTAACACATTCCTCACAGTCTGTATTCTAAATTACTTTTGGAAAGTAATATCCATATTGTACCTTGAAGGAAGGCCTAAGCAGTAAACTTTAATGGCTGCCTGAGTTGGCAATCATTTCATAGAGACAAGACACTGCACTGGAAATTGGTCTATAAATAAGATCCCTTACAGAAGAATTAAAATGGAATTCATATTATTGATGTTCACTAGCAGCCATAAAAAACATCAGACAGCCAGGAAGTGGCACTTGTTTCAAATCACTGTCTGAAGCACTTGAAGGACACCCTCAAAGTCAGCTTTGCTCAATGGTGATGAATATGTTTGTCCAGTTTTCTGAGTAACAGTAATGCATTTGGAAGCCTGGAAAAAATATGCCTGGCAAAAGGAAATAGGATAGATATTAGCTACCCCCACAGCAAAGCCGTTCCTGTCAACATTAATTCATTTTGATGGAATAAAGTGATTTTAAACTCTCCCTATCTCCCACTTTGTTGTTGGGTATGTTTGTTTTTTTCCCCCTCCTCAGGGGATAAGATCTTTGAGGAGTGACCACCTTGCCTGGCTTGATGAGAAGAGATCCACAGTCATGTTGTTGGTAACATCAGAGTTAGAATCGCCGATGCTCAACCATGTATGTTGCTAGTGGTGTCAAAAAACAAAATTGTAGTGTGGTGATTGCACTACATCTCTGACTGCAATGGCTGGCTACTAATATTCTGTAAGCATTTCCACAGAGTTGTCAGAACTGGAAAAATGTGACATAAAAGTTAAACTGTAAATCAAAGGGGGAAGGAGGGAGAGAGAGCAAAGAACATATACTATTTCTTCAAAAGAGGGCTTTTCATATATCAAGGAAGAGGCAAAGTGAAATGGAAAAGAAATCAAATTACTCTAGCAGCAGCAAAAGTTGTAAGCAAAAAAGATCCAAAATAGAAAGCAAGAAATGATATAATATCATCTACATTGAATTTGATTACTGAAGCCCTTCCATGAAAGGCCCATGGTTCATTCTTCTCTGTAAGTCAAATTTTCCTACAGACAGACATGACAAAACCTGAGCAAAACGTTCCAAAACTACTATTGCATATGGTACTTGGTGTGAAGGATGATTGATGCTCAGTATTCAGTTTGACATTCATGGGGCTCTGTACATAGCAGATTCAGCAAATGTTATAATTTTGTTTAAAATAAACCTTATTTTTATTTGCAACTTTTTAAAAATGATTTTTCGTAAACTTAGTACCTGTGAAAACTGACAGATTGACAACCCTGGCAATTTAAACCTATTATTCCCTGCAGCAGGTACAACATGGGCTGTAACAATGTAAGCTGCCCTAGTGATGTACTTCTACTAATTACTAGAGAGGTGAAAAGGCAGTGTAGTCTCCAAACCCAGTCAGATCTTTCTTTACTGCTTAACTAGCGCTCTGGGAGGTGCATTAGAAATACCACTGACTGATGAGGGAGACAGAGAACTGCACTAATTTAGGTATTTTTTGTGCGATAGACACTGTCCATTTATTTTTGATGAACTTTTAATTAAGGAAATGGAAGAGGGACAAAAATGCTTTTTTCAAAACAAATTTTCATAGAAAAAAATAATTTCATTTGAGGTTTTCTGGGCTTTCAACATTTCTGAAAAACAAAGTTTTACTGGAAACCCAACTTTTTATGGTTTTCAAGGGGTTTTTGGCAAATCTGTGGGGGGTGGGGAAATCCATGTAAAATTAAGATTTTTTTTTCTTTCAAACATTTTTTGTGGACAATAATTACTGTTTTCTGACCAGTTCCAGTATTATTAGTGGACACTCATCATTTCTTAGTTTTTCAGGTTAATCTAGCCCTCATAGAAACTGTAAAGCTCTGGAAACCAAAGGTTGGCCACAGAACTGACACAACATGGACAACAACATTGCATGAATTCCCATGGTACCCTGACAATGTGCCTCAAGTCTGACTTGAAGGGTGTGTGAGGATTACATCTCAATTCAACAAAGTACTTAAATAGACACTTTAGGCCTACTGACTTATAAATTGGTTTTAATGGATCTTAAGTATGTTCTTACATGTTTTTCTGAACTGGGGCCTCAGTCTACTCAGTACGTGGGGTCTTTCGTAAGATTGCTAACAAAGGTGCCAGTTAGTGCTGCTCTACTAATGATGTTAATGTGGTCACTGAACACTACTCTAAGACTACCAATTTCAAATCACATACTAACAAGCCACCCAATAGCCATCATGCTACAATAACTTTCAGTCACTCTTGACTTGTAGCCTGATTCTATAAATAAGTATCAGAGGGGTAGCCATGTTAGTTTGTATCCACAAAAACTAGGATTGCTGCCGCAGATGTGCACAGGCTGAAATTGTGAACAAACAGCATCACTTGCCCCATGACCTCAATTGTACAGAACACAATGCCATCCACAGCCTCAGAAACGACTCAGACATTATAATCAAAGGGGCTGACAAAGGAGGTGCTGTAATCATCATGAACAGGTGAGATTACGAACAGGAGGCTGCCAGGCAACTCTCCAACACCACATTCTACAGGCCACTATCCTCCGATCCCACTGAGGAGTACCAAAAGAAACTACACCATCTGCTCAAGAAACTCCTTACTATAGCACAGGAACAAATCTACACAGACACACCCGTAGAGCCCCGACCAGGGGTATTCTATCTGCTACCCAAGATCCATAAACATCGAAATCCTGGATGCCCTATCATCTCAGGCATTGGAATTCTTATAGCAGGATCATCTGGCTATTTGGACTCTCTCCTCAGACCCTACGCTACTAGCACTCCTAGCTATCTTCAAGACACCACCGACTTCCTGAGGAAACTACAATGCACTGATGATCTTCCTGAAAACACCGTCCTGGACACCATGGATGTAGAAGGTCTTTACACCAATATTCCACACAAGGATGGACTACAAGCTGTCAGAAACAGTATCCCTGATAAGGGCACGGCACACCTGGTGGCTGAGCTTTGTGATTTTGTTCTCACCTACAACCATTTCAAATTTGGGGACAACTTATATCTTTAAGTCAGCGGCACTGCTATGGGTACCCACATGGCCCCACAGTATGCCAACATTTTTATGGATGACGTAGAACAATGCTTCCTCAGTTTTCATCCCCTAGCACCTCTCCTCTACTTGCACTACATTGATGACATCTTCAACATATGGACCCATAGGAAGGAGGCCCTTGAAGAATTCCACCTGGATTTCAACAATTTCCATCCTACCATCAACCTCAGCCTGGACCAGTCCACACAACAGATCCACTTCCTGGACATTATCATGCAAATAAGTGATGGTCACATTAACACCACCCTATACTGGAAACCTACTGACCGCTATACTTACCTACATGCCTCCAGCTTCCATCCAAGACACATCACACAATCCATTGTCTACAGCCAAGCCCTAAGAAACAACCACATTTGCTCCAATCCCTCAGACAGAGACAAACACCTACAAGATCTTTATCAAGCATTCTTAAAACTACAATACCCACCTGGGGAAGTGAGGAAACAGATTGACAGAGCAAGATGGGTACCCAGAAGTCACCTACTACAGGACATGCCCAACAAATAAATAACAGAACACCACTGTCCATCACATACAGCCCCCAGCTAAAACCTCTCCAGCACATCATCAACGATCTATAACCTATCCTGGAAAATGATCCCTCACTTTCACAGACCTTGGGAGGCAGGCCAGTCCTCGCTTACAGGCAGCCCCACAACCTGACGCAAATAATCACTAGCAACTACACACCACACCACAGAAACACTAACCCAGGAACCAATCCCTATAACAAACCCTGTTGCCTACTCTGTCCCCATATCTACTCGAGCGACACCATCATAGGACCCAACCACATCAGCCACACCATCAGGGGCTCATTCACCTGCACATCTACTAATGTGATAGATGCCATTATGTGCCAGCAATGCCCCTCTGCCATGTACATTGGCCAAACCAGACAGTCTCTGTGTAAAAAAATAAATGGACAAAAATCAGACAGCAGGAGCGATAACATACAAAAGCCAGTAGGAGAACCCTTCAATCTCCCTGGACATTCAATACAGAGTTAAAAGTAGCCAT